ATTCAGTTTGTTCGACTCGCGCGCTCTATGCGGGACATCATCCACAAACTGTAGAGCTCACTTCTGGTGCAAATGTCTTGTGCAGAACCGCTCTCTTTTCAGACTTGAGCCCGCGATACCCCAAAACCTTTCTCCAGTGCTCAACCCCCCGGTATACAATAGAGCCCCACCACAGAACCCTTTCCGAAACTGTTCAACAGACCCCTGGTAGCAGCCCTGAAGGAACACCCGAAGAAACCCTGAAAGGAGTTTTCTAAGCTCCTACTTATAGGCTCATGGGACTTAGTAAGTAAGGTTATAAGTAGGTTACAATTAGGATAACCCCACCTCGGGGACTATAACCCCAATTATAACCTACTTACTAAGTCCCATGATCCTTTAAGTACGTTTGGTGTCGTCTCGCTCCTCGACCTCACCATTCACGGAGTGCTGTGTGGTCCTTGTCTGCAGCTTAAGGGGGGAGTTGCCGAGAGAGTCTAAGGGGGGTTGGCTTTAGGGCTGAGGGTTCTGAGGGCTCGAAATTTCTTACTCTTATGGGGGCATATGGCCCCTACTCACAGGTACCTAGCGTCTTCTCTGTGCAGGTTTCTTTGCAGTTTTGCTTCTTTTTGCGTCGCGCATGGCTAGGACGAGACCCGCATGGCGATGACGGCGTAAGGTTCTTATGAGGAGTTGACTTTGAATTGATTAGTTAGAAGTCTTCGGAATTATGTTGCAGTCAATCCGAAATGGATGCCAAGGGCCCCCCCAAACCCGACACCCGACTAACCGATTTAGCCGAAGCCTGGTTCAAACAGGAACAGCTGGGCCCGAAAGAGAGCAGGAGGGACCTTGACTCGCCTTAGTGTTCGGGGTTTAAGCTCATTGGTCAAGGACGTCAGACTCAAACAGGGGTGTCCGCTAACACGTTTGTCTGTGATTGGGTTTGTTGGGGTTCTTCATAGCCTGCACTCTGGGACTCTGTTCGTTGTCCGGATTCTAGTACGCTACAAGTACCACATAGTGAGAAACGCGGATCGCAACATGAATGCAAGGAGCAAGCGCCATTGACATCCGGAACAATATCATTGTACCAGAAACGTGGTAATACTTTTATAAATAGCAGTCATCATGCTCAGGACCATCGCTTATCCGCTGAGTCCTCAGCCGAAAAGAACAAAACCATTCAGTAGTTGGGATAAGGTAATATTCGCGAATGCAAGTCGAGGGTTCGCGGATGGCTAACAAGGTCAACGACAATTACGGACAAGGAGTCCCATCCAGGGGAGCACTATGAAGCTTTACACGCAAACCTGCACATCTAAATATTCATACAGCCTCACTCACACATACATACATGCATACACACATACATACATACAGACCTACATGCATACATAAATGCCTACATATAGCGACCTACACATACACACACATACCTACATACCGACGTACCTACATGCCTGCATACATACATACATACATACCTACATACACACATTTCCACTCACACACACAATCATACAGACATACTTTCTGACTGAGCAACTTACTACTCAATGACGAAACCATGTGCAGTCAGACAGGCAGACAGACCTTCAGACAGCATACTTGCATGCTTGTACCCGTACCAAACATCAGCACGATGGCATGCAACCGCTGTGCGCATTTTTCATTTCCAAATTCGGCCTTGTAACTTCAACGGGGGCCAGATGAGTCCCACGGCTGTACTCCGGGCCCAAGTAGCCGGCACAGCACCACGCAGGGGTCGATCCAAACGATGGAGCCCCTGGGGGGCATCCTAGAACAAGCTACGCTCCGAAGAAGTAGCCTCACCCTAAGGGTCCAAGTAGTCCTTATTCATGGTTTCGGGTACCTAAAACGGGCCCTAAAGTCCTATAATGGATAGTACTTGGACCCTCTGGGTCAGGGTGTGAAACTGTTGCCAAAACTACGGAGAGCTTCAGAGCCTCGTGGTTGCCCTTCCCAACCATCACCTTCAGCATTTGCAGTTCACGATCCCCCAACCGAAATCTTCAGCCGTGTTCACGTCAGATTTTGTGTCTACCGAAGTGACGATGTCGGCCGCCCCTGCAGCACTGCCCACTTTTGTTTTTCCGATGCGCTTTCTGTGTCTCGAGCGGCTCCACCCGGCAACTGCCGCAATCGGAGCCCTCGTGTCTCCGATAGCAAGCCCTCTCATGTCGCATTTCCCAAATCCCTAAAGTGAAGTATATATATATATATATATGCTCACCCCCCCCCGTTGACAGACCATGCCCTTGTGATAGTGTACTCTCGTTCGGTGACTAGGCTGAGATATTGTATCTAAACACACCACACATGACGACAATCGGTAAAGCAAATCCTTTACAGTACATATACCAAGTATACTTTTAACATGCCATGTACTGAGGACGCATGGACCAGACGCGCGGCACGTGAGTTATGAGTTTTGTGGTGGCAATGATATAGGATGAGTATGAGTATTAATATTGGTATTAGTATTAGTATCAGCAATAGTATTAGTGTTTACTGTAAGTATATATATATATATGTATATATATCGACAGTAGTAAGTATACATTAATGTTAGTGCTCATCTTCGTTTTAGTCTTAGTGTTAGTGCCAGTGTCAATGCCAGTAATAGTACCACTGCGAGTATTAGTATCAGTCTTCATGCTGGGTTTAATATCAGTTAATAATGGCAGAGGTGCTAGTATTGGTATCAAAATTAGAGTTAGTTTCGATATGCTACTATTCTGATAGTTTCGTATATCGGCAGGTTAGTATATCAATACATTGATGTGTTCGAGAGGCAACATATTTGTATACTTGCATACTCGTAGATTTAATACTTTAGTACAACTGATGCATGAGTAAACTAGTATATTGCTGTATTAATATATTAGTATATTAACATACCAGTATATTCGTACATTAGTGTATTAGTATACTAGTATATGCAATATGCGTGTATTGTCTAAAGATTTATAAGTATATCAGTATGCTGTCATATTAGTACACTAACCTGCCATGTCGGTATGCTTGCATATTACAGTAGTCGTATACTAGTATAGTAGCATACTAGTATAATTGCATACTAGTATAGTATATTCACACATTAACAAGGAGTGTATTGTTACATTGGCATATGGGTATATGCTTGTCCTAAAACATCAGTACATGAATGCATTGATACATATCGGCATTTTAAGATAATGGTATGTGTTCTGGTGTGCATTAGCATACGCACGTGTCTTTTGTAATGGTATTAGTCTTCACATCAATATGAATATGACTATTGGTATTCGTAGGAGTATTAATGTTAATATTCGTATTAGGATTACCCATAGCCGCATTAGCCTTAGTATAAGTGTTAATAATGGTATTAATCCTTGCATTATCTTGAATATTCAACAAGTTATCAATGTCAGCATAAGTATTGGTGAAAGCATTACTGTTCACAGCATAAGAGTATACGCAGTAGTATCCGTAAGCGTGTCAATACTTATGTATATCTTTGTGTTGGTATAAACAGATTGGTATTAGCAATAGTGCTACTTTAATATAGTGGTATGTATATTTATGTACATTGGTATATGCAGGTGTGTATTAGTATTGGTATTAAAATACACTACTATACCAATATGGGCATAATTATTGATATGCGTAGGAGTATGAACGTCAGTAATAATCATTATTAGTATTTGTATTGTGCCTATTCGTATTGGCTTAAAAAAGTGTGAATATTAGTGTCAATGCCGGTATTAGCTTGGGCGGTCAGCAAATGATCAATGTCAGTATTAGTATTGGTAATAGTATTCGTAGGAGTACCAATTAAACAAAGAAAAAAAAAATATATATATATATAAACACTGACAATCGTCTAAGCAGACCTTGCCTTTGCAAGTGAGTCGTAGTGCATGGTCTGTCATCCGATGGGTCACAATCAGCCCATTGAAAACCAATTCCAGAAGTTCCAAAATTTCCGAAATTTCCAAAATTTTCAAAATTTCCAAAACGGCCCGACCTAGTCGACAGGATTTTTCCAAAACAGAAGGGCGGACTTTTTGGAATTTCGGAAATTTTGGAAATCCGGAAAGTTAGGGGAGAGAATTTTGGAAATTTTGGATATTTTGGAATTGAGTTTTTGAAAGCTGAGTGCACCCTCCCCCCGATCACAGACCATGCACTACGACTGAGTTGAAAGGGCGTGGTCTGTCAACGGGGGGGGGGTGACCATATATATGTATGTGTATATATATATATATCCGTATCTATATCCATACATACATATATATATATATATATACTCATGTTTACACACATGCAGCACACATATGCATATACATATACATGTGGATATGTATGTACGTATATATATATATATGTATATATATACATACATATATACATGTATGTGTGTATGTATATATATGTATATGTAACCGGAGAGGCAGAGAAACAGTAATCACATAACAAACCACGCTCCTTGTCACCTTTTCTTGAAGACGTAATAGCCGACCATCCACTCGCGGCCATCGCGGAAACCAAAGGCTTCCGAGCACATGAGGTAGAACATGCGCCACTCCTGCTGGGCATGTAGTCATAGGGACCCTTAGGGGGGGGGGGGGGGTAGGGGGCCATAATGCCCATAGTAAGGACTTAATCAATAAGGCCTCTTTTTAAGGAAGTTTTGACCCTAACCCCCTCCTCCCCCTTACCCCCCTAAGGGCCTATGATGTGGGGTTGAAGGGTTTAGGGCAAGTTTAGGGCTTGTAGCGGTTAGTTAGGATGAATTTGTAACCACGGATTGTAAGGCCTCAGGGCTCCGAGCTAGATTGGGCTCTCTTCAGAAGGAGGTTCGTTATGGATTGGTTTGGGTTTAGGTATCAAGGGCCATGAAAGCGTGGCTTCTGCCCTGTCTGGCCACTGAAGGAGGAAGACGGGCTGTTTCAACCTGGCACAGCCTGGCACCTCTTACTGTTGTTTGTGCACCTCTTGCAGTTGATTAAAGATTAATGCACGCAGTCCTGAAACCGCGATCGCCCGAGTGCTAGCGATTGCCCATCAGCAAGGATTTTCTCACACTCCTCGCGTTTGGCGTACATCAGCTGCAGCCATGCATCGAGGGTACGGGAGTATTCTGTCCCTGTTACCTCGGCTGCCCTTTGATGCAATAACCTTGAGAAGCTCAGGAGGGCCTTAAATGCTCTATTCCAAATCAGATCTGACAAAAGCATTCTCGCAACAGAGTAAGAGTCTACTTCAGTGCGTTCCACACAGAGGTCGTCGGTGAAGTGATGAAAGAACGTCATCGAAGGGATCCTTCTTCCCAGTGTCAAAAGACATAAAGTGACTAAACGATGCACTACACTGTAGGGTCTCGGTCTACTATGCTCATAATTACTTATAACCCCAATTAAGGTACTTATAACCTTACTTACTCAGTCCCATGATCCTCCAAGTAGGCAGTATCCACGGAAGCAAAGCTTACAGCAACACCTAAACCCCCTATACACGTCAAACCACACTCTGCACAGAGCCCCGACTTCGAAATTCCAAAGGCCCAAAAACTTGAAAAAACTTGGCTGGCTGTATACTACGCTTGATGATATAAATCCTGCACTGCCCATAATAAGGAAAACGCACGCCATAATTCCCATAGTTTAGGGTCCTTAAGGTAATACAGGATTTATATCATCAACAGTAGGGATGGTAAAACCCTGAGCACAAAGAGCCCCAAAGTCGACGTGTCCAAAAAGAGCTTGAAAAAGCTGAACATTTGTGTCACTAGGGTCGTGCCCCCGGTAAAGAATCGCCGGCCCATCCAGGATTTGGCGTTCATCAGGTAGGAGTACCTTTCTCACACGGCCTGCTTTCTCTCTTCTTCAAAATCTGCAATAACCGGGCCTAAAACGTTCAAACTTTCTATGATAGGCCAAATACTTATGGCTGAAAACTTTTTGGCCCTCCCATTGGTTAAGTACGTTGTTATTTGCTTTTTTAACTTGAAAAGAGGGGAAGTGCCTTTTTGATCGGGCTTCGATGGTTGGCATTTTCTGGGGGTTGGGGTTTCGGGTTTGGGGTGCCTTGAATCAAGACTTTTGGGGTTTCGTTGGTGTCCGTCTCATGGAATACAGGGGAAGCTTTGGAGATGCTTGATTCGTTCTGTCAAGTATATGTGTATATACCAAAAAATGTATACATACATATATATATATATATATATATATATATTTGTTTGTTGTATTTCTATATGTGTGCGTGTGTGTGTGCATATGCATATACAACATATGCGAATATAATGTGTGTACAATACATACATGTTATATATACACACATAGGTACATGCATATTATATGTGTGTGTGTACATCATCATCATCATCATCATCGTCATCATCTGAACAGAAAGCCCAGGTACTCCCGGTGGCCCAGGATTTGCACAAAAAAGCGGCCATCGGGCGCGAGGACCTTTGCAATGCGGGCAAACAGCGCCTGGTAGTTGCGAGAGTGCTCAAGGCTCTCACAGGCGAAGATGCGGTCGTAGAGAGGGAGCCCACCCCGCTCCTCCACTTGGAGGGCAGGGGACTTAGTAAGTAGGTTATATAAGGGAGTTACCAAAATTAAACCCTATCTACAAACGAATTACTAAGTCCCCTGCTCCTCCAAAGCTGTTGCTGACAGAGCATTAATGTCCATTTTGAGCGCTGTGAGATTCACCAGGCCGCGGCGACTGGCCTCCCCGCTGATGTGGGCGATCTGTGTGCTAGAGTTGGAGAAGCATACGAAGGTCGTCTTCGGAAACCGCTCCGCCGCATAGAGGCTGAAACTTCCCCAGCCACAGCCGATGTCGAGCACACGCTGACCGTCAGCCACGCCCAGCAACTCGGCATACTTGGCAAGCGTGTGAGTCTCGGCTTCTGCCAGCGTTGCATCCGGCCCAGGCCACTCGCAGCTTGAATACTTGAGGCGTGGGCCGAGAGAGTTGAGGAAAAAGGGAGTGGGCACTTCCTAGGATGCCCAGTAACCGAGGAATACAAAGGGCTCCCTGTTTTGGTATTGGGTAACTTTATAGGGAACCTAAGACTACCAAAAAGGGAATAAGGGTACTGCTGGGCATCCTAGCTTCGTAATGCTGTTCATTTGCCGCGGCCGTATCGAAGGCGATCTCCTCAGAGGCCAGCTGCTTCACCCTCGAGACAAGGCGAAGCTCTTTCCTTAGTGGTTTAGGGGTTTAGGGTTTAGGGTTGTCTTTCCTTACTTGTTGCGAACCCCATCCGGGTGACATGTGACTAGTGGCTGAAACTACCCATTACTAATACTAAAAAATTACATGCAGATATTGGTATATATGTAACTGTTTTACGCCTTTGGTTGCTCTTATCACTATACTCTTGTTAAACGCTGTCCCCTTCAACGGGACATTCACTTTCGAAAGCAAGAGCTAAGCCTGAACTCGGGATCCCTGAATCCCTACAGCTCTCAACATCTACCTGTCCTACACTGTCCTACACCAAAGTTGGCGATGACCCTATGACCCCCATGGGTTATGGGGATTTTTTGGATCTCCAGGTAGAGGCTGCTTAGCATCGAAGATTCTGCGGCCAACGCAGCTTCCAAAGCTGCCTCAAGGCATGGCCAAGGACGATGCGCACCAGAAAACGCACCAGCCAGTCTGGCAGGAGCGGCTGCAGGTAGGTGACGAAAAGCTCGAGGGCATCCTCCATACCCATCTTTCCGGAAAGGCCTAGTACCTAGGCCCCCGCAAAACCTAGAAGGGCTTAAAGAGTCCTTGTGCTCCGACCTACAGTAACCAAGAGCCGAAACCTTCGAAGAAAGAGCGAGATGCCACAGCTCGCGTTCCTGGCGACATGAAAGTCCACTACAAAGAACGGCTGCGATGCTTGCCTGGGTTGTAATTCAAGGACCCCGTTATTCTGCTGTGACGTTTATGCCGCACGGTCGTAGCGTTGCCCGGCCATCACAGCCTTAATTTCGAGGCACTTGGTTTCCAAGGAACGGCCGATAAGTCGCGTGCCTTTCCGGGAAACTTGCGAACCAGTTCGCACACCTTAAGTGCGAAAATGGACTACCTTGTCCCGAGATTCTGAGACAGAACGACTCCCTCCCTTGACTGCGCCAAGGCTCCCGTTAGAGAGGTGCTCCCGAAATACCTTCTTGTTCTCGCCCGCGTCCTCACAGTGGATGTGCACCGCTTCTAGGCTTAAGTTGCAGGGATTTTGGAGGATTCTGGGTTTAGGGATTATAAGCATTATATGCATTGCTCCACGCAGAATCCAGAGCTTCCTCCTGCCATGTGCTATTCCATCCTCGGAATTGGAAACAGAAAAAGAGTCCTGTCACTTTTATTAAGTCAGCCGGTGCATGCTGCAGTTGAAAATGGGTCTGCGGCCACACAGCTGTTGATTGCTTGATCGTGCTAATACTTACTGCCCAAATCCCTTGCGGCAGCAGCGATGTGACTTGGACCCCTTTCGTGAGTACGTTTCTGCATTGCGCTGGGGTCACGATACCTAATGTAATATATAGTAATATAGGGGCCTCAATAATTAGAACCGGGCTTTGGGGTCTATGGTACTCGATCTCTAGACTCTAGATATGAGACTACAAGTGAAATGGTCTTACTGTTACTAATTCTTCTGACTCTCACATTAATTCAGTGTCGCTCTGAGCAACCAAACCGCCGGAACCCTAAACCCTCAACCCTAAATGTCCGACCCTAAACCCCTAAACCCTTTTGCAGCCAGGCATTCTGAGGCGTTGCGGGGTTTACAGTGTGTTGCCGGGTTAACAGTGCCAGTCCCCTAAGCCCTAACCCCTAAACCCTAACCGTTAAACCCCTAAACCTTTAAACCCCTAAAACTTAAACCCCTAAACCTTAAACCCTATAAACCCTGTAAACCCTAAACTTCTATATAGACCCTAACCCCTAAACCCCTAAACCTTGAAAACCAAGGCGAGACCTCGACCGGCAGAGCTTTCGCAGGAGGTGCGAGCTGGCTTTGCGATTCCTGACGAGGGCATCAAGCCTTAAACATATTGGGGAAAAAATACTTTTTCCCCAATATGTTTAGTACCATTGCCACTACCACTGCCACTACTGCTATCGCTACCACTACCACGACCACTACCACTTTACTACGACGACGGCGACGACTACTACATACTACGGCGACGACGACTACTACATACTACGGCGACGACGACTACTACGGACAACCGCAATTTATAGGGTGGAGCAGCTTTGTCAGGATTTAGAGAGTATAGTACCCTACCCCTCCCCCTTACCACCCTAGGGGTCCCTATGATAAACCCAAAGCTCAGCGTCAAGTCAGCACAACAGGCTATGCCTTGGCGATCATTGCTGAGCCCATACGGCGAATGACGGCAAATGCCCCAAATGACATTCTGGTATGTCCATTTTGGCTGAGTGCTGGGCCGCTATAAACATGTGGTTATTTTGGGAACCCTAGACCCTAAAACCCTAAACCGTAGATCATGTTCATGCATCGATTACAGTGCCAAATCACGGCCCAAGCCATCGAGCCTATACTCCTCATCTCTCACTCCTGCTACGGGCTCCAGCGCGAACCTCGCACATTCGGCGAAACTTCTAAACACCTCAACTGCAAATATTCATGTAGCGTAATCTCCTATGGCTGCTATGACCTACATATATAGCTGCCTTCCGAACCCGAAATCCTTCCCAAGCGCCTGGTGTAGTCTGTCGGGGAGTCCGAGCGAGATGGAGTCTGCCTTAGGCAAGAGGCAGCGGCGGTTCAGGGCGTTTCAGTCATGTCAAAACCAGAATCGTAATCCTGGCCTGGGCAATCACGATGGGAGGATTAGGGGGCTTGGTAAGTAGGGCTATAAGTACCGCGATTGGGGTTATAGGTAATTATAAGTACAGCTACCCGAAAATGATCCTTATACCTAGACCCCCAAAAGTAGGTAAAATTTTGGCCCAAAACCTATAAAAGGCTATTAGACTACATGATTTTGGGGTCCAGGTACTCAGGTACTAAGTCCCATGATCCTTTGATAAGCCGGGGCGCTCCACTACCTGAAACGATCTGATCCTCAAACCCTATGGGTCCATGTACCCAAATAGGTTAAATAGGTTCCCTAGACCCTCTATCTACCCTCTGTTAGACCCTAAATGCCCATTATTTGGGGCCATGTACCGCTATCTGAGGGCACAAGGAGGGTCCTGGTCTACTTTGTTTTTTTTATGGTTTGACGTTAGGTCTTTAAGGACCGTCCCTAGTATAGAGTTACTTTCGGGCCAATAAAATCTTTGGGTACATGGACCCTTCGGGAAAAAATCCTGAACAAGTCAGACCCAACCCCCAACCGCCCGTCACTGACCCTGAAACCAGGTCTAAAATTAGCTTCCTTCGATGACAAACACTCATACCACTCATCAAAGGCCTAATTTAGCATAATATTCGCAATATACGGTATAGTACAGTACAGAAAACAAAAGTACAGTAGATGATAACATAATCAAACTAAACTTACGCACTATCACTCTGCAACCAATGCCCCTCCAGGCCAAGAGTGTGTGTCTGCAACTACAGGTTCTAAAACAAAGTTGCGTCCAACCGCGCGTGTCTCGACGGCTTCACCACAGCTTTGATAAATGCATTTTTGTTCAGAAAAGCTGAACGAGACAAGACCGAACTGCCAGCTAGTATAGGGGCCGAATGGTAAGAATAGGATTTCGGGGTACAGTCGTCGACAAAGTACTGCTTGCTACCGTCCAAAGACGCGACAGTTAAGGCATGTTCGCGCAAATGCACTTGGAAGACTCGACCTCGTGACGTTTTCTCTGAAAGCGAGTGAGATGCCACCAACTGCTCGGCAAGTTCGATATCCAGAGGCTGGTCGCTCTCAGCCACAACCGCCTCAGTCTGACTTGAAGGAAGGATTCGCAATCGGTATCATAGGCTACGCAACACATTCTGAATGCAAGCTTTCTCCGAGCCACAGATACTAAACGTCAAACTGCCACTCTTACAGGGCATATGTCATTCAGCGACCTGCGCACGACTGTGCACACATGCCTGTCAAAAAAGACGTTGTAGGGTGGGGTATCTCTAGGCCTCCAATTTCGGCAAGATGAACGATCGATCGAGAGGATGCTGGAAGTCCTGCAGCCGAAATCCGAATCGCAGGCGGTACAGAAATTTCTGCAACAAGAACGGCGCGGGGGTTATAGGCTTACATACGGCTGAGGCACTGCAAGAGCAGCAGTCAACCCACACCCACAAAATCCTAAACCCCAAACCCCTGAGCCCCAAACCCTACCTGGACCCAAGGAACCTACCGTTTTAGGGCCCCATAATATGATTTCTTTATATAAGTCCCTAAAAAGGTAGGTTATTTGGGGTTAAGGTAGATACTAAAAACCTAAGCCTGAACCCAAATCTCTACACCCTCAACCCTAAATCACTAAATTCCCAAACCCTGTATAAATCCCTGAACCCCTACACCCTGAATGCCTAATCCCAAAACACTCATTAGCAAGTACCTTAACCCCAGATAACCTAGGACTTATATAAGGAAACCGTACGAAGGAACCCTACCAGGGTAGGTTTCTTAGGGTCCAGGTAAACCTTACTTGGAGGGGCAGGGGACTTAGTAAGTCGTTTATAAGTAGGGTTATAATCGGGTTAACCCCGTTTAGGGTACTTATAACTCTACTTATAACCTACTTACTAAGTCCCATGATCCTTTAAGTACGGTAAACCCTATTCTCTTAGCCGACCGAGGAGCCCATCGATCTGACGTCCAAGGTGCACGGCGCCTGAGGGCGTCACCGAATACGCGAGTTTGGGGTTCGGGGTTCGGGATTAAGGGGTCTAGGGGTTGAGGTTTAGGGGTTTAGGGATTAGGGGATTAGGAGTTGAGGGGATTAGGGGTTGAGGGGGTTTAGGGGTTTAGGGATTAGGGGATTAGGAGTTGAGGGGATTAGGGGTTGAGGGGGTTTAGGGGTTTAGGGTTCGGGGATTAAGAGTTTCGGGTATACGCAGAACCGGGTGTATTCCAACTGCTTTGTAAGGGAACTACAATTGGGTTCCATGACACAGCGGCCCGATCAATTCGATTGAGGCTTTGGGCTACAGTGAAGCTTACTTAACATACTTGGAGGTTCATGGGTAGTTTTAAGTGGGGTTATACGTGCCCTAATATGGGCTATAATTATGGTTACCCTAACTATAATCCCACTGTATAACTACCCATGAACCTCCAAGTAAGCAGGAACCCGAGGGAATAGTCTTGGATTAGACTCCGGCATTCATGCCATAGGCCGCGCGTGATGCCGTAGGGTGATGCACCTCGAAAGAGTCGTGATGTACCAAAACCCCTAAACCCTTAGCCTAAACCCTAAAACCTAAACCCTAAAAACCCTAAAACCTAAAACCTAAACCCCAAAACCTGAAACCTAAACCCTAAAGCTCAAGGGCGCCTGGGCCTTTCATCTTCGCCGCTACGCAACGAATCTGCAGTGCGTGGATTATGGGAGTTGCTTCTTTGTACCAAGATCTCGCTTGAGGTAGCACCTACTATGCTCTACTCAGCATACTGTAACGAATAACCAGGAAAGGCCCCCTCTCGTGGAAAAACCCAGTCATCCACAAGCCTCGGGGCAGCCTGGCCGCCATCCGTACCATCCTGGCCAGCTTGGGTTAGATACGAAGCCCCCAAA